CCATTTTCTTCCTCTCCTGCTTTTTGGGTGCATTTTCAAAGACAGTAAGACTGAGAAAGGGGAGCAGGAAGATTCATAGGTGCAGTAGCACTTATTTCTGCAGAGAATCACTCTTCTATTGAGTCACTTTGCTATTTTCATAACTCAGTAACACAGTGAAAGACCAGGTAAGAATGATTTTGTTTTTCTAAGCCAAAAGGAAATGGAAAAAGAGGGAAAGTGAGGAGAACATAAATGAGCTTGCACTCTAATCTCTTCAATGCTTTTTTAATTTTGTGTGTATATGTCTATGTATCTATATATATGTGTCTGTATATGTGGAGTGTGTGTATATATATAGAGAGAGACATATATACATATATACATATATACACTCCATATGTATATGTATATATGGAGCCCTGGTGGTGCAGTGGTTAAGAGCTCGACTGGTAACCAAAAGGTCGACAGTTTTAATCCATCAGCCACTCCTTGGAAACCGTGTGGGGCAGTTCTACTCTGTCCAGTAGGGTCGCTATGAGTCGGAATCGACTTGATGGCAACGAGTTTCATTTGGGTTTTATATTTAGAGACAGAGACAGAAAGAAAGAAAGAGAATGTGTCCTGGTGGCACAATGGTAAGTGCTGGGCTGCTAACCTGAAGGTTGTCCATACAAACCCATCCAGTGGCTCCATGGGAGAAAGATCTGACGATCTACTCTTATAAAGATTACAGCCTAGAAAACCTTATGGGGTGGTTCTGCTCTGTCACGTGGGGTCACTATGAGTCGGAATCGACTCGACGACACTGAACAAAAAAAAATATATATTTAGAGAGAGAGAGATTGATTTACACGTTTTGACTAGTCTTGACTGTTATTGTTAGCATGTAGCCTGCTCTGCCAGAGGATGGCAACTGTCATAGGTGGAGCATTTGTTGAGTTTTTTATGACACGGTCCAATACTTTGCACTGAACACATGGCAGCTCTGAGTCTGTGGGTCTAGACTGGAAGATGGGGAGCTGGGACACCATTGGCGTGGCTTGGGAAACCTGAGGGTAGGATAATTTGCTCCTGACCAAGATACCTTCTGGGCTGCTGTAGACCCAGTGTGATAGATATCCTGTGGTCCACTTGGAGTGCTTAGCTGGCCCAGAGAAAACATCGGAACCTTTCTAGTCTATAGTCATTGGTTTTCCAAAGGACAAAAATAATAGGTGATAACTTATTCTGCTGGGACAATCCCTCCCCTCCTATGCCCATCCCGTCCATATATGCTTTACCAAAGCTTTAATCTCCTACAAAGACTAAAAGCAAATGTCAACTACTGTCAGAAACAAAATTTGTCTCCCAAAAGCACCAGTTAAAGCATTTTGTCCTGTAAGTTTGAGTGTCATGAGTGAATGCAATGTAGAGGAGATTTATTATCACCAAGTGTTGTGCATATAAATACATCATCCTGAGTCCTAAAGTCATTTTACGAAAACTTCAGAGACTTTGTTTTCTTTTGGAACGTTTTGTTCCACGGATAATATAGATACTAAATTACTTGGCCTCCTGATCTATTGTTTGGATAGAAAATGGATTTGTTTTTCTTTTCTGAGCTTTCTTTAACATAAGTAACCATTTCTGGTAAGGTAGCATTGCTATGCATTTGCATTGCTATAGAATTAAATTATGGATTCTGTCTCTCAAAATAGAGTGCTTTATAAATCAAGTAAAATCTCATAACTAAGATGAATAAGTTGCTTTAAATCTCATGGTGCCTCATATTCCATACTTTAATTTTATAGTACAACTTGATGTAATTTTTAAAGTGTAATTCTCATTTTTTTTCTATTTCAGTGTACTGTTCTTTTGCTTTGTAAAAATGTCATTAGTTTCCCAAGAAAAAGCTCAAGGAAAGTTACTATGTGTAAAGAAAAGTGATATAAAAGCACAAAGGCATGTAATAATTCTTTGTAGATTAGCAGGAAATGTGCCAAATACACCACATTCCCTCCCTGACTCCCTTCCTTCCTCTCTCTCTCTTTGATTGCATTCAGTAAACGATATTGAAACCTTAAATTGTAACAAATGGTGAAATCTGAATGTTTTATTATTATTTTTTCCTTTTTACCTGATCTGTTGTTTGGGATTGCTGAATATGAAGGAGAAACGTCATTTATATAGCTTTTTTTTTGGAGGGAGGGTGTTAGCAACAGACAAATTGTCAACCTTTGAATAGTCTATGTAAATGTCAATGACTGTGTATACTAATCGTCTGTGATAAAGATATCAAGGAGAGCTGTGGTTTTGCAATCTAAAAGCAGACCTACTCAGCAGCTGCCTAATTTCTTCTTAGTATAGCTATGCAACTGCCCCAAACCAGGGAATTGAGGCAATGGCCCTAAATCTGAGTATGCAGGAAGATGAAAAATAAATTAGTAAAAAGAGAAGGAAGGTCTGAGTAAGTTATTTAGACCTGGTTAGGTTCAGTCTAAGAAGCCCTGGTGGAGCAGTGGTTAAGCTCTAGGCTGCTAACCAAAATGTCGGCAGTTTAAACCCACCAGCTACTCCGTGGGAGAAAGATGTGGCAGTCTGCTTCTGTAAAGGTTTACAGCCTTGGAAACCCTATGGGGCAGTTCTCCTCTGGGTCGCTATAAGTCAGAATCAACTTGATGGCAACGGGTGGGTTGAGTCTGCATTTGGCTGAGTCTGTTGCTCTAGATTGAAAGATGGGGTACTGGGATGCCATCGGCTTGGCTCAGGAAACCTGAGGGTAATTTGCTCCAAATGCAGGCTCTCCAAATGCAGCTGCAATCAGTGATAAGGGACTAAAATTCAGGCGAGAGATTAGGGGTAGAGATAGAGATTTAAGATCTGAGCAATTGCAGTGATGGATGAAACTTTGGAGGAACCTCATATTTCCGGGGATAAAGAGATTAGAGGAGAGCAGAAGATTTAGGGCTGAGCCTTGGGGAAATCTTTTATGTTAGGGTGTGGGAGGAGGAAGAGAAACCCCGAAGTAGAAACTAGTGTGCTTGGCTGTGGAAGTTACCAAGTGCCACTGCATCCCCCTGGTGATTAGTTCTGAGCCAGATACACTGGGCAGAGGGTAGAGAATCTAGGGACTCTGAAATCCTTGTGACTCTTTCTGCCTTGGTGCAGGTTGTAGTAGGTATGAAAAAGAGGCTTATGGTTTCTCTTAGGGGCACAGGCACATTAGTGAGGGGAAGACCCCCTACTATTGTGATTTTTAGCACCTGTAAGGATTCCCTTACAGTCCTTATAAAAAACCCGTTACCGTCAAGTAGATTCTGACTCATAGCAACCCTATAGGACAGAGTAGAACTGCCCCATAGAGCTTCCAAGGGGTGGCTGGTGGGTTCGAACTGCCGGCCTTTTGGTTAGCAGCTGAGCTCTTAACTGCTGTGCCACCAGGGCTCCTTATAGGTGCTAAAATTATATAGCCATTCCTGGGGTACTTTTATGACTCTAAGAGGATTCAGTTAATACAGTTCTCAACTCGTATTACCGATAAATTCTTCCTTTTCCAGGATTTGCAGGTAGATATAAAGGTACATTGAAACTAACATACTATTTGATTTTGTAAATCATTTTAATTTGACTGGAAAGAAATTGATCAATGGGAGAAACAAAAGGACAGCGTCTTGCCGGGGGAGGTAAAACAGCTTTGTCCCAGAGCTAATATTTAAAAGAGCAGTGGCAGTGCATAGGTTTGGCATTCTATGTCACTCTGTAAAAATTTTGAAGAACATACCTTGATTCTCATGAAATTCTAGGAATGTGTTAATAGCAAGATAACTAAATATGGAAAAATGATTGTGCAAACCATTTAGGCACCATAAATAAGAAAAATGTATGCCACGTGTTGAATGAAAACACTTGGCGAACTGACTCCGTTTTCTCCTGGGACTTCAGGTGGCCCCTGGCAGCTTGCACTCTTGGGTCCCCGCCCCCCTAAAAAAGAGGAGTTGCCTTCTTTTCTCCACTCTTCCCTGCCAAAAATCTTATGCATTCTAAGGCATCTTTGCATCTGCTGGAAAAATAATTGCTTGCAGTTGTCCTTGTTTATTAAACCCAAATGAGAGAATCATCTGCTTTGTATAGTGCTCATGAGATAAACAAACAGACACAGTGATAGATCACATTATGACAATGTGATAAACCCCAAGTCCAAGGACATCCATTGCTACAGTATAGTAACCACCATAATCAGCAGCCATGTCAGCATGTAGAGAACATCAAAGGCATGTTTGATTCCACAGGACTGATATATTATCCTGTCTGGAAATGCTTCAGTAATCAACAAAGCATTCGAATAGCTGAGACTCCAAAATACATTTTGGTCTCAATTGTCCAAGTAATCTAAGGCCATTGCCTCTGGAATGTAAAGAACAATGGCTCCCAATTATAGGGATTTACTGTTTTATTAACAGTGTATCAGTGGATTTCAGGATGGTTCTTATACTGGATAGATTCAGGCAAAAGAGGTTTGGAGCCTAAATTGCCCAGATAATGAAGTCTAAAATTTATATGATATATTTGTGTCTGTATTAAACATTTTCCCTCCATTTTCTTGATTATTTGTATATGTAGATCCAGATTATAAATCCTGTTTAATTTAAACATGCATAATTTTACATCTCATGTTGGAAAAGTGTTATTTAAATCTGGAATGTTATGATCCCATACTATTTCTAATTCCTGTATTATCTAAATATAATTTGATGCCTGTCAAAGCAGAACAGAGTAGCTAAAAGAGCAGGTTCTAGAATCAAAATGAATTTCAGTTCCTGTTTTGTCACTTTTTAGCTGTGCGACTGTTGGCAAGTCACTTAGCCTCACTTAGTCTCAGTTTCCTGGTCTAGTATGATGATGAAATTACTTCATATAAAGCACTTATCACAGTGCCTGGCACATGCTAAGAACTCAGTAAATAAGCTCATATTCTTGTCTTGGGCATGCCAGATTTTTAGAAATGCTAAATGCAGATTCGTCTAACTCTTCATTTTTAGGGTCGGTGTGCTAGAGAGAACTGCAAGTACCTGCACCCTCCTGCACACTTAAAAACGCAGCTGGAGATTAATGGACGGAACAATCTGATTCAACAGAAGACTGCCGCAGCCATGTTCGCCCAGCAGATGCAGTTTATGCTCCAAAACGCTCAAATGCCATCACTCGTAAGTCACAGCTATGCCTTTGAAAAATTGTGTGTGTGTCCTCTTTTTAAAAAAAGAATATATATCTATTTTGGAATAACCTCACAGGGCCTTTAAGAAGTTAGTTACAACAGGAGTTAGGACACAAGCTAATATGTTACCATATGGATACTACAGAGCTGAGCATGTGAAGGGGGCAGTCAGGCGTGTTAGATTGAAAATTTGGGTTGCATTTATGCATGCATTCAGTTTATAGAAGAATATTCATAATGGAGCAGGGACATTTTAAGATGAGGAGGAGGTTTGATGATTATTAAATGCAAACCTTTAAATTCTAGGATATTAATTCAAGCAAATTTCTTTGTTCTTTAATGGTGGTTTTGTTGTTTTTGTTGCTTTTTATTTTGAAATGATTAGAGATTTACAGAAAAGTGGCAAAAATAGTAGAGAGTTCCTGTGTACCCCTCACCCAATTTCCTTCATTGTTAACATATTAACAGTGAATGTCTGTCAAAACTAAAAAACTAACGTTCACGTGTTACAATTAATTAAACTCCAGACTTTACTCAGACTTCACCAGTTTTTCCATTAATGTTCCAGTGTCCAATCTAGGATACCACCGTGCATTTAGTTGTCCTGTCTCCCCTCTTTCCTCTGGTGTGTGACCATTTCTCGGTCTTTCCCTGTCTCCCATGATCTTGACAGTCTTGATAAGTACTAGTCAGGTATTTGATGGTGGTTTTAACCTAGCCACAGAGTTTCCTTTTGCAGAAATAAACAAGATTATGGTGTCATTCTAGACCAGAGTCTAGTATTTTGTGGACCCGTGAGTTTAAAGATATCCTTTAAAAAGTAATTAATGACGGAAAAATTTGGAAACAGGTAAGGGTGATGGTTGAACTACGTGATGAGCATAATGTCACTGAACTGTACGTGGGAAGATTGTTGGAACATCAGATGTTTTGTTACATATATATGTACCACAATAAAAAAGTAATTAAGCTACATCTGTTCATTTTTCAAGTATTCATATAATTTAAGAAAAGATCTGTTGATAATTCATCTTGTCCTGATACCTTAAAATGAAAAGTTGCATTTTGATGTTAGACTTTTCAGGGAGAATTGAAAACTGTCCCCTTTTCACTATAGTTCTTCCAGGTCTCAAATTTAGCTTAGTAGGGTCTTGTTCTAATTCCAGCTGGCCTGTTTCCTTTAAACCATTAGTAAGATTCATTTGAAAGGGCTATGCTATCTTTATTTGTTACCCGTTTCATCAGTGACTATGTCATAAACATACTAAAACTGAAAGATGTATATAGTATCCAGATGCAATGAAAATGTGCAAGTAGGACAATCTGCAGCAAAGCCTAGCTCCGATAAAATTGATTCTCAGAATTCAGGGAGATCTGTATAGATAAGGATAGATGAATGCAAAAATACACGAACCACTCAAATTTTACAGCATGATACTTTCTCCAGAATGTCTAGACAAATTTAAGTAAAATAAATAGATTTTTTGTCCTGTACTATTAGTTTGCCAAGTATAATTGCTTTGGAACTCAGTGCTTATTAATTATCTTGATAACTGAGTCCCAGAAGATCACCAGTGAGATCCTCAAAGCTCTCTTTGACCCTCAGTAATACTTCACATGATTGAACTCCTTCTTGAGACTCTTCTCTTGGCTTGCACACACTGTAGAATTTCAGTTCCTCCCCACTTCTAAGGGGGAGAGTATGAACAAAGCCACAGAGAAATGAACATCCTTGATGAGTTTGGAAATGTGAACAGATGGGGAATAAAGCAAAAGAGCTTTTCACTCACCGATACGACTCTTGGCCTCTCATGGGCTGCCCCAATTTCAGACTGAACAAAGAATAGGAGCCAGATTTTATTATCAAACACCTGAGCCCAGCATTTCCTATAGATCTGGTCTGGAGCATATATCTTTTCATAGGTCAAGAGGCAACATCAGCTCACCAGTCAAATGCCCTGTTTCAGAGAGCAAGGCCAAGGGTAAAGAGGGAAGTCAGATGATTCATCTTCTATTCAGCCTCTGGTAGAGTTCACTGTTCTCCAACTCTCAACCATTCATGTACTGTTGAACATGCTGGCTTACACTGGACAATGGGGATTGGGCTTTTCCCCTAATATTATTTTTTTTAATTCATTTTACTGTGGTAATATATATCCCCATTGCTTTCGACTCAATTCTGACTCATAGTAATCCTATAGGACAGAGTAGAACCATCCCATAGGGTTTCCAAGGCTGTAAATCTTTATGGAAGCAGACTGCCACATCTTTCTCCCACAGTATATATACGGTGAAACCTGTGAAAGCTGCAACTCGACAGGCCTGCCTTGTTTTTCTGGGTCTCACAAGTTTTCCACCTTTGACAGGGTACAGTCTTACCACTTTTCTATCCTCTCAGTTAGTGGCAAATATTTGAATTTTCCCTCTCTGACAGGTTTCTGCCTTACACAGGTTCCGGCTTTCGCAGGTGTGTATACATAAATATGTGTGTGTGTGTGTGTGTGTATTTATCTATATCTATCTATCTATCTATCTATCTATCTATATATATATATATATATATACATACATATGTCGATTCCAACTCATAGTGACCCTATAGGACAGGGTAGAACTGCCCCGTAGGGTTTCCAAGGAGCGGCTGGTGGATTCGAACTGCTGACTTTCGGTGCAGTGGTTAAGAGCTTGGCTGCTAACCAAAAGGTTGGCGATTTGAATCCACCGGCCACTTCTTGGAAACCCTATGGGGCAGTTCTACCCTGTCCTATAGAATTGCAATGAGTCGAAATTGACTCGACGGCAACGGGAGATATATATATGTATATGTATGTACATACGCACACACGTATATATAAAACATTTTCCATTCCAACCATTTGTACATATATATTTTAGTAACATTAATCATATTCATCATGTTGTGTAACCATCACCACTACCCAGTTCCAATTTTTTTTAATCACCCTTAACAGAAACTCAGTACTCTGTAAGCAATACCTGCCCGTTTCACACGCACCCCCACCTGCCACTGGTAACCACCAATAACCTTTGTTCTCTGCATTTGCCTCTTCTAGATATTTCATATAAGTGAGATTATACTATGATTGTCCTTTTATGTCTGATTTATTTCACTCAACATAATGATTTCAGGGTTCATCCATGTCATAGCATGTATCAAAACTTCATTTGTCTTTATGGCTGAGTAATATTCTGTTGTATAGCTGTAATACATTTTGTTTATCCATTCATCTGTTGATAAATGTTTGGGTTTTCTCCACCTTTTGTATATCGTGAATAATGCTGCAATGAACATTGGTGTACAGGTGTCTGTTTGGGAGTGACTTTTTAAAAATCCAATAAGGCATCCACTGAGTTTTCCAGCCTCTTGTGCCGTCTAATTTGGCTCTCCATGCTTTCTATAATAGAATGCATTTCCCTTTTTTTCTTCAATGAGAGTAATTTCAGATTTCAGGCTTCAGAAGATGACAGGACTACAATTTATTTTGTAGCATATCAGAAGATGCAAATCATTACTTAGAAGACCCCAGAGAACTATTGAAAATTACTTATCTACCTTGTAGATAATTTAATGATAGGTGTTGTGATGTGATAAACTAATAAAAGATTAATTTTGGCAGTTATTATCTGCACAAAAATCTAACCCCAAACAGCCCTGTAAAACCAAATGAGACTAACGAGGTACAGTAGTCCAGTGACAAGGGCCAGAAGGCAGAAGGGGACAAGGAAGCTGGTGATAGGGAACCCAAGGTTGAGTAAGGATATTGTTGATGTGTTGTGAGATTGTTAACCGTTGTCATAGGGCAACATTTGTAGTAACTGTTAAATGAGAAACTATTTTGTTCTGTAAGCCTTCATCTTAAGTGAGAATAACAACAGCACAATTGGAAGAGCGTAGTCAATGTCACTGAACTGTGCATGTAGAAAGTTTTGAAATGGTGTATCTTTGGCTATATGTATTTTCACCAAAAGAAAGGTTGAGAAGTTAGGGGTTTGACATGTTGTGGGGTTGTTAACCAATGTCATAAAACAACATGTGTACTACTGTTTCATGAGAAACTATTTGTTCTGTAAGCTTTCACCTGAAGTACAATAAAAAAAATTTTAAAAAAGGGGAAAAAAAATCTAACCCCAAGGTGGTTGATATGCTCCTCTTTGGTGGTCTGGGAAGCTGCTTTGTAGGCGTATTGTAACTGAGCTAGTTTTAGCAATTGTAAATGGCATTTACCAGTCTGACTTGGAAAAAAATGTTCTTTTTTATGGATCCTGATATTACTACAGAAGTAACATATAATTTTACTTAATTTCTCTGGTACCTACTCTACCCCAAACAACTCTATCCTTTAGCACCACCACCCCTCCCCCGCCCAATTTGATTCTTGTCCCTAAAATAGACAAGCTTTTATTTCGATTCTAGTCTTGGTATTTGTATGGTTGTACATTAGTACCTATTTGTTATCACTGGCCTGAACTTCAGGGCTTTCCACAAAGCATACTTTGATCTGTTTCTACAATACCAAAAGAGTACATCTGCTTTTGCAAAACTGAATATGGTTTGCTTATTATAAGCCCCCAGATAAAGGGAATGTCAACCTAAATGGGATGGTAGGTAGAGAACAGATTCTGTTCAGTATGACTGAACAATGAATAAAAGCCATACCTAGTCAATTTGAGTGGAATGCTTACTGGAGCAGGTAAGTTTGTTCACTATATTTAACAGGTCTGAATTGACATTTGCTAGTATAAAATTCCACCTAGGAATCCTTTTGTTAGCTTTATTAAGAAAGTTTAGCAAGTGAGACAAAGTGTGTTATTTTTCAGTGCTATTGAAGAGAGAGAGTATCTGATGTTCACAGTAAAAAATCAGAAGTTTAAGAATTCCCCTTGGCATAATCAGGAGGCCAACATGGGCATTGTAGACAAATGTTAGGAAAAGTAGACATGCTGTATTACTCTCAAGCAAAGCTGATG